TCCCTTCGTCAGGCTCTGGGAAACGTGTAGATGGTACAAGATGGTAAAAATTCCCTATAGGTAGGAAATAAGCTTCATTTTTGCACAGAGGGAGTTCAAGATGGAAGTCTGTCCTGGTCCATGAGTGTCTTTGTGAGCTGTGTTGAGTAGCTCTTTGATGTGTTGATCAGGGAGAATTCCTTCCCTGGAGGTGTCAGCTGGCAGGCAAGGAGGCAAAAAAACTTGCTTGTTCACAAGTGAAGTTTAAAATCCAAAATCGGCTACAATTTGGCATCGTCCATGTTTCAGGGGTGTACTTGGTAGCTGTGTTGGTCTAAGACGAAAAGACATACAAAAAACCAAAACTCTTGGTTCCAAAATTATCCCTTTTATTAGACCAACTGGAAAATTTTAGCTGATTTTGGATTTATTTCCTACCTATGGGGACTTTTTACCATCTTGTACCATCTACGCTTTTCCCCGCCTGACAAAGGGACTTTGATCCCAAAAGCTTGCAGAAAAGGACAGTTTTCTTGCCATTTTCCAGTTGGTCTAATAAAAGGTATCATTTTGGAACCAACAGTTCTAGTTTTTTGTATGTATATGAGGTGGGCATTTATTAAAACAACTTTAAAAGGTCCAGCTGGAGAAAACTCAACTCAAGTCTCTTGTCTATCAAATGCCTTTTTACTCCTCCACACCAACAGTGCTCTGTTTCTGCACAGGTTGGTGCAGCTTTGCCTGTTGATGTTTTAACATATGATGAAAAAACCCTGTCTGCTATACTGAGAGTTTCTAGCAGGTAAGTTCCTGGTTGTACATACTGTGTAAATATTGACATGGAAAGATGCATTGCGTAGCATAACAATGGCATATTAATAAACTAGTTTAAAACTTCTATTGCTATTTTTCCCATCAAAATAAAGTAAATACATAGAAGAAAGTGTCACCTGTAATCTGGTCTAGTTGCTGGGATGTGTGTGAATGTCTCCCAGTGGTGAGTCAGCGCTTGCATCTTTCAGTGATGGGAGACAATCCGCGACTGAGAGCAGGGAGTTTTTTACTCTCAGGAGGCCACTGGTGTGTCTGGATCAGGCATTCTGAAAGGCAACAAAAAGTGTGACAGCTTTACTGGTCTCCAGGTACCCTGTACTGTATCTATTGATTCTTGCTCCTCTAGAATTAACTCAATGTTATCATTTATTTCTGAGAAAAATGTCAAAGCACTAGGAAAAGAGCAGTAAGAGGCAGATTAAGAACCTATCTCAAACTCAGCATGTTTCCACTGGCACTTCTAGGTCTCAACAACACAATAACTCCTTACTTGGGACATTCTTAAGTGAGAATGAACCCTAAAGAGTGACCCTTGGCAGAGTTTTGCTCCTTGTGTATATGTGGGGTCATGCTCGCTGTAATACCCCTGCAGTTCCAAGACAGATTAGAGTCACTGTGACTCTAGTGTTTGTGCAGGAGTATTGCTTACTCAGTTCCAGGGCTGGCCCGTTACAATTGCTTGGGTCAACTCGATTTTTAAGGTTGCAGTGAAAACAAAATTGGGATTTGCCACCCCCCCATCTCTTCCTGGAGTTGACATCAGAAAGAAAGGCTTTCAGGTCTAAGTGGAGAACACCAGGCTGTAAGATTGGAAAAGACCTAACCTGAGTGAGCGTGAATAGCACACATGGATCAATACATTGTGCCCATCTTTAAAATATAAACTATGTTATCAGGTGTGAATGAGACATTCCTGTAACTTGTAGCTCTTGTCCCTTTGTTGCGGGAAGATGGCAGGAGTAGCTGAGGAAATTGAACAATAAACAGCAGGGGAAGTTGCTTGCAAAGAAAGAGACTAAAGTAGGCAACTGTCGATCCTCTGGATTGTGGCGTATGCATAAGAGGTCTAGTTGGGGGCCTTACAAATCTAGTTATAATGAGTCCTGCAACCATTACATCAAGACCTTCAGCGCATCTACCTAGAGTATGGAGGAGTGGAGGCTGCCCAAGACCTGCCCCACTTTAGCCCATTGAGACAGAGTCTGAAGGCCAGACTGAGTCCAGACGTTCAGTGCCCTGATGGTTGTAGCTTCTGCCAGAGAGCAACAGATAAGAACTGCTGTTGAATGCCTAATTCCTTAGTGAGGGCAAGTTTCTGTCAGGGTGGTATTCCGTTCTCCAACCAAGGAATACCTGCAAGGAGGCTAAAGACATTGGGTGGGGGAGGGGGACAGGGTCCAGGAATGAGGCATAGGAAAAAAGGGGATTGACTAAGACAGAAATCATCGGTTCCAGTTTTCATGTCTCTCACAATGTAGACGGGACTGGTCACACTGATAGACTGTTGTGACGCAACTGTGTTTGTGATGTGACCAGACTCCACTGATGGAATTACTACCTGTTCCATGTGTGACTGAGACTTCACCACTTTCTTATTCACTGAGTCTCTATCAAAGCTGTATATACTGCAGGAAAACTGGCAGATCCTATTAACATTCTTAATGTTCTCCTCCTTTAGTGGCTTTGTCAAACTGTGGAGTGCTTTAACTTTATTGGGCTCATACCAGAACCGAAAGTGTGCCTTCAGAGTGGTGCAGGTAAGACTCTGGGAGCTTGGTGACCCTCCACTGTTTTCTTCTCATAGGTCTAATGTAAGTTTAGTCAAGTATGTAGAGTCTCTTACCAGAAAACATGGCTTACCTATATAGAATGTATCAGTTCTGAGAACTCAGTACTCTTGTGTAGCTGTGAACCAAACAGATTTGATGGATCCATTTTGTAACTAGTGAAAAGTAATCAAAGTATTTTATGGTACAGTGCTTGTAACAATCCTCTGCTTAGTGTTGTCTGTAATTCGTCTCTCCTTCTTGGAGTCTGTAGACATGACCTTGTAAAATTAGACTTGTGTTCGAGTCTTGTCACTTGACATCTCCACTCCAAAGAGATCAGGGCTGATCTCATTAGCAGATTGATGGAACCTAATTTCATTGCTGCTTTGTCATTTTGTCCTTCATGGTGAAAATCTGTGGGGTTGAGGGTTTTGGTTTTTTTTAGTTCTCAAATGATTCCACTGGGAACCTTACATTGGATTTCAATTTTCAGTTCAGAACTCAGGGCTGCTTGTTACGAAATGCTTTACTTCAGTTCAGTCACTTGGGCAAGGGAGCTGGCATTGGTCTCCACAGTGATAGTTGAACAAACATCTACTTGGCTTACTTAAATTGCTTTGATTCTGTTTTACATGAGGCTATGGTTTTAATTTGCCTCCTAATAACAGTCTGCGTATATGTGACAATTTCATAATATTGTCTGTGGCTTGTTTCTTCCTTTTTTTCCACCAGACATCTCCATTCCTGCTCGCATTATCTGGGAACAGTAGAGAGCTAGTGTTGGACTGAATACACAGAACAGTTGGTTGAACTGTAAAAAGCTTGAGATGTTGGCACTATTCAGAGCCCTGATTTGTGGTGGGGATTTCCAAAGAACAGGCTGGATGAAGCCAAACATTACCAGCTCATGTCTCAGATGTCCATCTCTAAGGTGTTTACATGTACAAGTTGGAGACAAAGCTGAACTTAAAAAAGCCTTTACACAAAGGGATGTTGTTAGTTTTTCTGAGCTAACAGGGGACACTAACCCACTGCATCTGAATGAAGACTATGCAAAGAAGACAAGGTTTGGGAGAATGATTGTACATGGAGTTTTGATCAATGGACTTATTTCTGCAGTTCTGGGTACTAAGATGCCTGGTCATGGGTGCGTGTTTCTTTCTCAGGAAATTAACTTCCCAGCTCCTTTATATGTTGGAGAAGAAGTCTTAGCTGCAGCAGAAGTGAAGAAACTGAAGAGATCTATTGCATACATTTCAGTATTATGTACTGTCATGGACAGTGGAAAGACTGTTATGGAGGGGATGGTGAAAGTGTTGGTGTCAGACAGACAGAACTCCTCCTGACCACATGGTGTTTTACTCTGTAGTAAAGTTCATAGATGTATAGGTTACAGGTATCATAGTGCAAGACTTGGCAAGAATAAGCCTGCCAGAAGCTTCAAAGGACACAGCTTGTTGTCAGCATTGAGACTTGCTGTGCCTGTAAGTGAGCCATGTACAACAGTGCTGGTGGGGAGGTGTTTTTCAGAAAATATGTAGATCACTGTGATCCATGCTCACTTTGCACGCCATGGCAAGAGAACCTATGTCGACTGTATTCTTGTTTGTACAGCAGACACAATAAACAGACTGCTGCTGCCCACCAGAACCTGTGGGAAGGATGCAGAAGGTTTGTGAAGGCATATAAGTTGAGTGATGTTTCTTTTAACAAATGAATGTATTGTTACTCCTTGCTTAGAAGCAAATGCACTGCTTTGTTCAAGACTAGCCCTAAATTCCATAAAAATGGGCTGTGAAAAGGACTTCTCAGTGCTAGAATTTAATTGCCATTGGATAATAGTCTGTCCTTCCTCTCCTCCACCTGCCCCCCAAACGGCAATCCCAACATGTTACTTCAAGAAGTCCTGTGTTGGTGCTCAAAATTGCCCCCTGTTCTGTTTTGCTCAACATTGGGCTCTTTCTGTTTTCAAAAGCAGGGACTATGGAAGCACGTGAATAGTTCTTAAAAACTATCCCTTCAAACTACACGAAACAAATATGCATTGTAGAGGCTGACAGAATTAGAAATAGAGCAGATCAAAGTAAGTGGCATGGCTGCATTAAACATTCAGTTTATAGAATCAGAAGGGACCTCAGCAATCATCTCGTACAGTCCAGCTGAGCTTCAGTATTTCTGTTGATGTAAAGCAGTAGCTGGATCCTGGTACCAGTGTCTGGCCATCTTGTAATTTTTCATGTATTTATCCTCTCCTCAGCCTTGGAAGTGCACTTACCCCATTTTACCGATGGGGAACGGGATTTTAAAGGGATTTCTGCACCTAAAGGTGCAGATAGGTGCCAGAACACTTGCTAGCAGTTTAGGCATGTAAATACTTCTAAAAGTACAGCACTAAGGGACTTGTGCAAGGTCACAAGAGAACTCTATATAATGGTGAGGACATGAACATGGCTCTTGCAAATTCTAGGCTAGCACTGTCTACTCTGACTGCTCCGAATAGTACAAACCACAGCTGTAGGCACCGAACCACCAAAACAACCTAGATGACAGTTGTGGATCTAGTGGCAGAATTGGTCTGATTGACCAATGGTCCAAAGGTTCATCTCCCTTGAAGCTGTTATGCAGTCACAAAATCTCTAGGTACCCTGTGCTCAGAACAGTGCACCACAAACAACAGAATTGGGCCAAGCAAAAAGGGAAAATAACAAAGCAGACCTGAGTGGAACATTGTGCCTTAGAGGCGGATGGGCTTTGCACTTATTCTGGATATCAGCCAACCAGATACTTGTTAGAACAAGGATGCATCAATTTCCAGAACTAACTGCTCAGATTAAAGAAGAAAAATAGCAGGGTGCTGGGTCTTCAGAAGGAAGATATTCACTGGGCACACACCTAGAGCAGGGGTAGCCAACTTGCTAGTGCCACAAGTGACTCAGGGCAGTCATGTGTTCCACATGGCATACTGGGGAGGAGACGGGCAGCACAGTAGCAGAAAGCAGAGCAGCAGGTTGGGTAAGGAAAAAGGATTGAAGTGGCATGGGGAAAGGTGTGGGGCTAACTTGGCACACCTGACAAAAAGGTTGGCCCCTACTGAGCTTGAGATGTTCTTGGCTGTGGAGCTTTCTGTCGAATTAAAACAGGAAAAGGAAATCGTATCTAAAGCTCTTTTGATGATTCTCCTAGGACAGTTCAGCGTGTTTAAACGTCTACATAACACTTTCATTTTCTTGCTTTGTAGCGACTTTCATCTCTAGCGTCCTGTTCAAAAACCAGACTAAAACTTACTAAGAACTGGGCTTAGCAGGCACATCTTCCTGTGCGCTCCACTAAAGCAATCATTTGTCTTCCATGTTGTTTTGCTTCAGGCCCTTTTACAGTCCCTTCAGCTTGGGAATATAAATACACCTGGAGAAGGGTTGAAATAAATCTGATAGCTAATAACCTTGACACGGAAGTTGTGGCTTCTAGTCTAGCTACTGACACATCATAATACCCATTTCCTCCAACTCCTTTCAGACTGGAGGTTGCACTCTCCGAGCTTATGTAAATTGTACAGACACCTGAAAACAATTGCTTACCACTTGTCCTCTTCTGTGGAGAACAACTTGACAATTACGCTTCCAATATTAATGACCTTAACATACAAAGAAGTGATTCATTAAAAGGTAGTGAACATCTGGGGTCATAAAAGAATGGATGCTCAGTAAAAATGTTCCCAAAGTTCTTGCTCCACTTAGGAACAGAATGAGTAAGTTCTGAAAATCCATTGCAGCCTAAACATGCATCTTGCCAGGAGCCCAGTATTTTGCAAGAAATCTTGCCAAGATATCAAGGGCTTTAAAAGTAGAAGACCCAGATTTGCTACAGTCTAGACTGAGAGGCATAAAAGAACTTTTGACAAGAGAATGGAGAAATCACTGCTCTAATTGCTTCACTACCTGACAGTGGAGATGCGGGAAAGAACTTGCAGACCTGGTGCACAAAGGATTTTGATATCCTCAGACATCAGCCAGGCAGCACCATTGAAATGAAGACAGATGTTTCACAAGCCCACATTCTGCAGAAGTGAAAATCCTTATGGGAGGGAGGCCCACATTATACCAAGAGCATTCTTCTGGGAAATAAGCTCTAAGGAAAAACTTAGATGCCTCCGATGGTTAAGTTAGCTCAAATATTTTGTGTTTTGCAGAAGACCTGCATAAAACTCTGTGTTAAAATGTTGCCTGTTGTCTGTTATAAAGACCTATTTCTATAATTGCTCAATGTGCGAATGTTCTAATTGGTTTATTGCACTGTGAGGAATGGATAATACTTCAATATATGCCCATGTGGTGGTGGATAGCTGGTGATACCTTAGTTAGTGTTCTTATTTTAGCAATAAGTTGATGAATCAGAATTTGGCATGTATTTCTAATAAATGCATCAAAATTTCTCTAATAACACACTACTTGAAATGCTTAGGACCCATTAAGGTAAAAGTCATCCCTGTGCAGAGGGACAGAACAAGATGCATACAACTAAGCTCTCTATCTTGAGGGTCTCATGTAAGACTCCAGACAGATTCACAAACTTGTGAATGGAGTTTCATAGTTTCATAGTAGGTAGGGTCGGAAGAGTCCTAAGCAGATCATCAAGTCCAACCCTCTGCCATGGGCAGGAAAGGATGCTGGGGTCAAATGACCCCAGCTAGGTGGCTGTCTAGCCTCCTTTTGAAGATCCCCAGGGCAGGAGCCAGCACCACTTCCCTAGGAAGTTGGTTCCAGCTCCTAGCCGCCCTGACTGTGAAGTAGTGCCTCCTGATGTCTAGCCTGAACCTACTCTCAGTCAGCTTATGACCGTTATTCCTTGTAACTCCCGGTAGTGCTCGGGGAAACAGGGACTCTCCCATTGCCTGCTGGTCCCCCTTGGCAAGTGTGTAGGTGGCCACCAGATCCCCTCTCAGCCTTCTCTTGTGGAAGCTGAACAGGTTCAGATCCCGTAGCTTCTCCTCATAGGGCCTACCCTGCTGCCCCCTGATCATGCGAGAGGCCTCCTCTGGACCCTCTCTATGCTATCCACATCCCTCCTGAAGTGCAGCACCCAGAACTGGACGCAGTACTCCAACTGTGGCCTGACCACTGTCATATAGAAGGGGAGGATCACCTCCTTGGACCTGCTTGTGATGCATCTGTGGATGCACAACAAGGTGTGGTTAGCCTTCCTGACCACCTCCCCACATTGGCGGCCCATGTTCATCCTGGAATCGATAGTGACTCCAAGATCCTTTTCTGCCTCTGTACTAATAAGGAAATTCCCCAGCCTGTAGGTATGCTGCTGGTTCTTCCTCCCCAGGTGCATCACCTTGCACTTGTCCATTTTGAAACCCATCCTGTTCTCATCCACCCACCTCTGTAACCTGTCCAGATCTAGTTGTAACCTGTCCCTTTCTTCTGGCATGCCCACTTCTCCCCACATCTTAGTGTCATCTGCGAACTTGAACAAGGTGCTTTTCACCCCCTCGTCCAAGTTGCTGATGAAGATATTGAACAGTGCGGGCCCAAGGACTGAGCCCTGGGGAACCGCACTGCCCACATCCCTCAAGGTTGAAAATGACCCATCCACCACCACTCTCCAGCCAGTTTGTGACCCATCTGACTGTAGGCGTCAACACCACAGTCGCCTAATTTTTTAATGAGGATGAGGTGAGAGACAGTGTCGAAGGCCTTCCTAAAGTCCAGAAAGACTACGTCCACTGCGACACCTGTGTCCAGGGCTCTTGTGACTCACTGAGTTCTGAGTCCCACTGAAATTAATCTGTAGCAGTCAAGCTTAGACCAGAAGTGGGACTGCTGCACAAAAAGATTGGGAACAACTGTCATGACTGGCCTGTAAGTTTTGACCTGGTCACAAGGCTGAATATTTTTAATGTTATTGTCTGGAAAATGTCAGCTCTGGAAGGGGACATGCTGCACTTGGCAAGTTGAATCAAAGACTTTTCTTTGAAATATACTGCACTTAAATGTTCATCTTCACAAACTGAAGATGAATTGAGTTAGAGCAAACTTACAAAAGTGTTCAGTGCTTATTACATTTATTCTTGGGGGAGTACAGCCTATTACTTTTAATAATGGGTTATTTCATGTTGTGTATACAACTTATCAAGGGTAGCAGTGAAGATTATGTTTTGAGGGCACAAACCTCTGCTCACGCACACCCCCACAGAGTTCACATTAATCTAGCCCTGATTATTTCACTCATCATAGTGAGAAGTGAATACCAATGGCAAAGAACAACGATATATTTATCAAGGAGTCTGGGGTAGAGCAGAAGGATATTGCTACACACTGCAGGATTTCTTCTCATGAGATGTATCAGTTCCAGCTGCTGTTGGTGCAATATGGTTTCCCAAATATCCTTGCTCCCTTTGCCCTCTGTGGGCTTCTCAGCCTCTGTGCTAAACCAGGGAGGGTAAATGGCTGGTCTAGAGATCAGGTTCAACGGTATTGTAAAGTAAATGGCATATTGTCTTACAAACCCCTGTAAACAAACAGATATAATTACCTTAACAAATGACAGTTGGTGAGAGGGAATACATGAAGGGCCTGAGAGCCCTGAGCTCTGAGTTGCCTGTTGTCATGCCTTGTGCACCCAAAGCATTCAAGTTAAGCAAGGCATATGACAGCAAAGATTCAGGCCCCTGAGTTTTTTCTGCCTTAGACTGACTTACATGGCTAAGCATCTTGAATTTCCCTTCAGCTGATGGAAATATACCTCGTATACAAGCAGTTCAGTGGTTCTGCGTTACCAAGGGTGCTAAGGTCT